GTCTAACAAAATATCAGTCCAGGGCCAATCATGCAAATATTTATGAGCCTGTTTAAAACTTTAGAACTGCTTGAAGTTAAGCATATAAGTTTTATTGTCTTGGAAGGCATTAGCCTTTATTGTAGTTTCTATTATGTAAGTCTTTACTTGACTGTAATCAAATTGTAGGAATATTAAAAAGCTTTCTCCACTATATCTTTTTTTCTGCAATAATCTGTATTTCCAAAAATACAACCTGCCAGAAAGTACAGTCACTGCCAGGTCCATTGTCTGTTTTAACAATTCCTTCTTTTGTTTTCTTTTCATCTTATTGATAGACTGTTCTTTTTCTTTTTTCTTTCTTTCTTTCTTTTTTTTTTTTTTTTTTAATTCTTGCTGCTAGTGCTACACATTTACTGTGAGAGGTGTATTTTCAGAGCAGCTGAGACCCTAATTTCTTCTGCTTTGGGGTGCAGAAAAGGGATGTAAGCATATAGAAGTAAAAATTACTAATTATACTATCCACATTTCCCTTTTATTTATTCTTAATGTGGCACAAGTGGCATAGATATTAGTTTTTGCATTCTGTATAATCTTTTTAACAAGAAATGCAATACATCCTGTATTGCTAATGAAAAAATTAAAGTATAATTTAAAAAAATTAATGAGTTCAATGAGGTTAACATTCAGGTTTTAAAAAAATATATGAAAAGTAAACTTTTAACATTAAATAAAAAAGCTCATGTGAGAATTTTGCAACCAAGAAAGTATTCAATTGCAAAAGAAAAAAAGTTGTCCAAAGCAAAACACAAGCAGCCAATTACAGAACATTTGCACCAAGTTTGCAAGTTAATTACAAAGAAACAAAACACTCAGGACAGAAGCTTAAAAGGAGATTGCAGAACTCATGGGAATTCACCATTACTGTCTCCCTATGACAAAACACCTGTGACAGATATGCTGTTCAACTTTTGCTGCCAATTCAATGTACTCTGCATTGTAAGAAGCATCAGAGAATGCTGAAAACATCTGCTCCCACAAATCATTCTTTCTGTCCATTAAATGAGGAAGAGAGATAAGAATAACCCTGAGAAAATACAGGAACAAGCCAATGAACAATAGAAAGTCTTAAAAAGAAAAACAAAACAAGAAAAAAAACCCACAAAGTGGGTGGGGATGACAAATTGCTCAGTATAAAACAATTATATCTAACAAGCTTTTTGTGAATGACTGAGTCTTTTGTGATTTAGAGAACTGTGATATTTCATTTAAAAATTTCCTAATTACAGAAAGCTGAGGCCGGAGCACATGTGAGGCATTAAGCTTTGCAACAGTACAATAATCTCTTGTTATCTACTTGTATCTTTTCCATTACCATACAGTAAATTTGCAAAGAATAGAACATCTGGAGTGCATTCTTATGGTTTTTTCCCACCCTGCCAGTGCTCCTAAATGGGCTTTTCCCATTTCCAAATGCTGACTAAGAACATTAATACTCCAGTTTGATTTCAAATCCTTTCCTGAAAATATATTTTATCTTTTGTCTCCTCAATATAAAGAATTATTCATGTATTTTAGTAGCAAAGATTACAAGAAAATGAGTGAAATTATATTTCTATTTTTATTCCTACTTTCTGTGAAGGCAACAAGAATCAGACCAGGAAACACTGGAAGCATTCTATTGAGCCCCAGCATGCAAACCTACTGACTGGACATATAATGTATTAGGTTCCAATTTAGCTGTGTCTCTGTATTTTTCTCTATAGGATTTTATCATTTCAATTAATCTTGAATCATTGTACAGCTAATTACCTGGGTTGGTCCCAGTTCCTGGTAGAGATTCTTTGTAAATGACTACTGCCTCTTGACACTGAAAAAATTTTCACATCACCAGCTTTCAACAGCAAACCACTAGTGTTTTCAGATGGAGAAATATTCTTTTTCTGCTTCTAAAAACAATATTAAGGATTACTGAATTTTTAAAATCTGTGTATTAAGATATTTAAAAATTGGTAGATTCTAGATTTGTGATTCCATACATGGAAGAATTTTATATGAGTCTGCTTTTGGTACATTATTATTTTTTTGTCTTGTAAAATTAAATTTAGTCGCTGGTTTCACAAGACATAAAGAGAAACCAGGATTGAAATCATACTTTATTTAGACTCTTTGACTGTATTTCACATAACTCATGCTAACATCAATCTTTCTAGGTTTTTTCCCAATGCATAGTAAGTTAAATATCTGTGTTTTTTCTTTCAGCAGCCCTTATCCTTTAACAGCTCTACTTGTTTTAAAAGGCAGGCATATGAGGTATTTGGCACACTCTCGGCATAAGGAAAAATAGAGCATTTTGTAGAAGACTGCACTAGTGTGTTGCCCTAAATAAAAGGTTTTACCATCCTAGAAACTAGGGCAACACCTCCTAATTATTTACTCTGATACTATATTTTTACAAAGATAAAGCTATGTGCATAATGAGGACTTCCAATTTACAGCACTTTGTCTGGCTTTGTCCAAGTTCTTTTTCATCTTTTCTCTTTGAGACTGGAGAGAGAGACAGAGAGGAGGAACTGGAACAAGTTTAGAAGCAAAAAAAAATGTTGAGAATTCTCTCTGGGCACAGATTGGTTTCTTTTGCCAACTTTCAGCTACTAAGCCATAAAGCCCAGGCCCCTGTTGTGTGTGCAGGACAGGCAATGAATATGGTTGCAGTGTATTTATACAGAAGCAATTAAAAGGCTCTTTGCTGTGGATTTTGTGCTACAGGAAAGATGGCTTATAGGTCCATAGTTTTTGTCCCATAGTTTATTTTAAAATATCGATATTTTCAGACTGAAATAGTCCCCAGAGGGTTAAAGGAGATTGTTTGGGAGAACAGGAGGAGTCTGATAAGCAGCTTCTCACATCATGGACTCCATGTTTGTACTTACCCTTCTTTTCTGCTACACAGCCTGCTGAGAACACTCCTTCCCCTCCTTGCTAAAAGCAACCTGCCTTCAAAAATACCTCTACCCTTCTCTTGGGAAGGTCACAAGGCAACAAAGTGCTGCCACTAACCCCATTTGGTGTGCAGCCAGGCTCCCCCTGCTGCAGTGACCAAGCCAGGGTGATACAGAGCAGAGAGGGATCGATGGGCGGCTGTGGCTCCTGCGCTGAGCAGCAGCAGGGAGGTCCAGAAGCAAGGGCACAGTACTAGCAACTGGTCATGCAGCTTAAAACCCACATAATGATTTCTTTGTCTGTGTTTTCAAGACGTACAGTCAGGATTAGCAAGTATTCAGGAAGGAAAAACAGCAACATTAAAACAAAACATTGGGGAAATCTTCACCCACATTACAAATTACAAGTGACAAGTCACTTCTAAAGCCTCCAGCAGAAAAATGCATACTTTCTGAGATGTTTTTTGTGAAGCTGCTAATATTTTGGATTTGCCTGGAATTTTAATCAAGGCTGCTATTTAACATTCCTACTGTGCCTAGAAACCAAGCAAACTGATGTCCCAAAATTCTGGGCACAATTTTAAACTAATATTTTAAACACATGTGCAAAGCAGGCCAGTAGTACTTCCTAATTCTGACTTTAATATTTTAGCACATTTCTAGTTTCCTCTCATCCTGAATCTTGAAGATACTGATTTTTCAGTTGGCATAGATTACAATGCAATTTATGAGATTTCTGTATCTGACATCTCATTCTCTGCTAATATCATCTAATACTCTATCTAACTCAGGAAGAACACAGCGGTTATTTTGTTTGCATAGCCTCGTTCTTGCAGTTTCTCTGTTTGGCAGTTATTAGAGTGTTATTGCTACATTTAATGACACACCTGCTACTGGCTTGGCTGTCATGGAGTAGGATTCCCGCTTACGAAAACTTAAATATTCTGCATTTGTATATTATACCACTACTAGTACCCTCACTACAAAACAGGTCTTAAGTTAACCTGAAAAACTTGGAACAAATTAAAAAATCATAAAACAACACACAGATTATTACTTTCACATCTGTGCCTAAAATTTGAATATTTAAGAGTTCTGAAGACATTTGTCAAACAAACAGAGAAGTTCAAATAACTTTCAGAAATGCCTAACTTCTACCTATGTTTGCAGAAAAGTAAATTGACTGGTGGGTTAAGCATTCTTTGCCTTGATATGTGGCTTTAGGAAAGCTGAAAATAATGTCTCGAAATTTTACCTGGCAGGCTTAAATATTCATATATGTACATAGGCATCTATGAATATAGGCTGCCAGACTAAAATATTCATATATGTACACAGGTATATATAGGCTGCCAGAGACTTGCCCACGGTCAAGATGTGGACATTCAAATAAACAGCAGAATTTTCACAACACATATTACTCGGCAGTTCCAGTGGATTTTATTAGAAGTAGCTACTCTTGAAAGGTGCATAATTTTTTTCTTTTTCCTTTTCATTTGTTTTACTTTCTCTGCAATTCAAGAAAAGAAAATATTAGGGCCTTGAATAGGTTAGACACCTCTCCACAGGACTACCTTGCTCCTACTTGCTTCAGTCCCACCACTGCTTTTGAAAATTCCTCAAAGATGCTGGAGATACTTAGTTCATGTTCACATACAGACTAGGCTGGCACAAGAGCTAAAGCTAGGCACGGCCAAAGTAGAGCACTTGTTCCTGCATTTCCACCAAACCCAATACCTGAAAGCACTGAAATCTATCAAGCATGCTTTCATTCATCTATATTTATTCACAGGTTTTGAATATTGATCTACTTTTTTATTAAAGTAAAATATTATTTTTTTCATTAACTTACTTTTTATTTAAGATGAAACAACTATATTTTTTTATTCTCACAGCACCTTTCTGCAAGGATTATCCTTAGTTCAGTGTTATATCACCATTTAATTTAATACAGCCATTTTATCATGAGTGTCTTTTCTTTTATTGACATAAGTGTTTTGGTTTAGATGTTTGTATCCCGTTGGAATCCCAACTGTGCAGCTGTACATATTTCCTACCTCTTTGGTTTGTTTTTTGCAGGTAATATCAAAATTATCCAACAAGCCTACACTATCCCAGGTATGTTGATCACATTTTAACTATGCCAAGCTTCACTTTGAACATGCACATAATTATAACCAGAACAAACTCCTTCCTTTCCTTCTTGAAAACAGACTTCAATTTTTTCAGAATAAGAATTCAAATAGCATCCTGCAGATAGTTCTGCCACTGCCCATTTTATGAGTAACAGCTTATGATCTTTTTTCCCAGGTACTAAATTTGAATATCCTCCTATAGCAACTGCATTTCAAATACATGGCTACCCAAGCCAAAATTTTGAATATGGGTAACACTCATTCTCTGTAGAGTATAGGCAGTATCAGTGCCAAGTCCTGTACAATTTAATCATCATGACAGTGTTTGAATGACTACTACAGTTGACAACAAGGCTTTTCTATTTTATAAAGACATGCCTTCTGTCACAACTTGGAATTCTTACCTCTTCATATATACCTCAAATTAAAAGATACCAGTTCACTAAATCTGTCAACACATACCAAGAGAAAAGCATATATTCAATGAAAGTGTGTTAGAACAAAATTAAACCTATGCTGCAGAACATTTACACAGATGCTAACAGGGGCTTAGAATATTTGGATACATTCCCCAAATCTGTATTTCCACCCAGCCAATCTGACTTGGCCTGAATGTGAGATATCTGACTATGCAGGGTCATCTGAGGTTTTCTATCTAAAGCTAACAGTGCCTTAATCAAGCCTGATTAAGAGGATAGCCTGTAAAAAAAAAAAATTGAAAACAACAGCTCCCTTAGAAAGCATGAAGTTGCATTTGATTTGTTAATTTGACCTGGAACCTAAGTCTTCCTTAGGTCTTTCACCTACTACCAATACAGAATATTGTACCATGGGAACAAATGGAACTATTTCTGAGTTAAGGTCTGATCCTGTCTATGTTGGCACGTGTTGGCACTCATGATCAGCAGACTTTGTTATTACAAAAAATAACACTGATCTCCTACACTGCACTATAATTAGTACATAAATTATAGAACCCAGGTCTATGTTGTCTCTAAATTTCCATGGTTCCAACATCAAGCATCTAAATTGCCTTTTTTTTTTTCAAAACCAGACATAGCTCCGCATTCTGATGACTCAGTTCTGAAGCCAAAACCATCACACTATTGGTGCATTAACAGGACTTGGAGTGAACTGAAAAGTCTGTCTACCAGCTATTATTTCAGTTACAAAAATTTGGAAGGGCACAGTGACCATTGGGCTTGAGCTGAAGTGGTGTAAATGCCATTTATACCTTATAAAAGGTTCCATGTGAAAAAGTGGTATTATTTGAATTACCAGCCTCAGATCTTTGCTGTGGATCACTAGATCCTGGTAGCATAACATTCAAGAAATAATGCCTCAGCTAAACAAAATTAATCTTCTCAAGTGTATGTATGGCAAATGGCTTGCAAGAACTAGTCATGTACTCTTTCTTGGTAACAAAACATATTGCAGTGCATTTGTTGACCATGTCACGAGTGACCTTTTTTAATTTGTTTGCATTTTTCTTGTATCTGCACATATAGCCATAGCTGAAGCTATGGATGAGTTCCAAAAGAGCTGTCTCTAATGAGGAATGAAAACTGTGTTAGGTCTGGGTATGTTCCAGAATGAACAGCAGAAAAAATGGGTTTCTGCAACATCAGGCTCTCAATTTTACACTAGTTTGTATTACTTGTTATTTTAGACAGAGCTCAAGGGAAATGGAAATATAAAGAAGAGACTCCCTTCCATTGTGGAAGATGAAGATGAGGAAGAGGAGGGAGAAGAAGAAAGCAGCACCCTTTCACCAATTGATACACGAAGCACAAATAGCTCCCAGCAGAAGAAGACTGCAAGCAGCAAAAGCCACCTAGGGAGAAACTTGAAGCAGCTGGCCTCAGGAACTGTGCCCTTTCATTCCCCCATCCGTGCTTGCAGTTCAAATCCCTCAAGAGCCAAACATGAAACAGAGCTCCATTACTACTCCAGAAGGAAGGAAAAAAACCTTAAATTGTACCTGTCAGCACTGACCACCAGCGGCCCACCAGATATGAGCCCAAGGTAATAGTTATGAATGTTCATTTTCCTATCTATCATTTGACTCCTATTAAAAATATCATGATTTTGAGACCATAAGAGTTATTCTTTAATAGTTTATACTTCGTTCAGCCCACCTTATTGTACACTATACATTGCACACTACGCAGAATGTTATGATTTTAGAACTTTATTGCAAACTAAAGTATTTTTACCCATAAAAAAGGCAGTAAAAAGTGAGCAACTGAAAAAATGGTTATTTAAATAGTCTGGCCTTATGGTATTATTTTGTCTATAATATTCATTCCCATAATAATACCATGAAGCATTCACTCTCAAAGATGAGTCCATCAGTAGTACAAAAATTTAGAAAGCAAGTAAATGAAATTGTAGCATAACTGTGAAAACACAAAAAGTTAGTGGAGTAGAGAACTATAATGGAAAACAATTTCCAAGCAATCTTGAAAAATATTTAGAGGATTTGTTTCATTAGAGACAGGAAACCTGATGATGGAAGTTACACAGACATCAAACACAGAGTTTATTAAATCTGTTTTGCTCTGTCATTTGAGACAAAGAAGCATCATATAACAGTTTATTGAGGTATTACTAGAGTAAAATTTAAAATATTTAATTTTTTATTTTTACACTACTTACAAGTGATTTATATAACTTGTTCCTAAATTGCTGCAGTGCAATCCTAGTTTTAGGAACAGTTCTTTAGAGAAATCACAAGCATACATACAAGGAGATGCAGTAGCTCATCTTCCAGTTCAAGTTTTTTCTTCTGTAGATTGAAGTGGTTTACATGTCCAAGCACTTCTTTTATTCATTAGTGGCAGAGTGGAAGGTTCAGAAATTTGCCACTGCAAATGTGGAATAGCCACAGCTTGAACAATATTTGTTTAACTCTGTCAAAGCACCAGTCCCTAGACATGCAATCATAAAAAGGACATGGAAGATTATACAGAACACTTTCTCCCTCATCATGCATTTTATTAGTACAGACACATTTCAAATAGTACCAGGATACAAAACAGCTTTAGTTTTTCATAAAATCATAGCAATCACAGAATCATTTAGGTTGGAAAATACCTCCAAGATCGAGTTCAACCTTTGGTGAAACTCATTTGTTTTCTAGATCTCATATGAATTTGGTTCAATCAGCTATGAGTAAAGGTCATTATCATTCAAATAATAGGTGATAATTCAGGGAATAACTATTTTTTATATTTTCTGCTGAAGTGTAGTCCTGCTCATTGCTCTGAATTTATGCAGCCAGACATTGGCACCCAAGGCTGCAAAAGGAAACAAGAAAAAAGTATGTTTACATATATTATTTCCTGTTTCCATTCATGATTTTATAACTGTAGACTAATCCTGTTAATAGGCTGGAAAACTGGCCCAAGATGTGTGCTTTTCAGCCTTTTTTTTCCAAACAAAACATTTTCATGTTATCTCCTAGAAGGAATTTATATTTTAAGAATATTTAAACTGACAAGTTAATACCACTTTAAAAAATGATCTTAAGTGTTTCCTTGTAAGCATTAAGGAGAAAATAAGACCTTAATTAAAATTGTCATTTACATTTGGTGTTGGCAGGAAAAGGCAAGGGAGACAAGACTGTGGTTGAAATATCCAGTCAGTGCTGTTCTGAGGTGTATAACCACAGTTTCTTAAGAAACTTCTGCTGTGGATATTTTCTAGAGGACACTAATTAGAATTCTTTAGCACCTTTTTTCAGGTGCTTCAGGTTCTTTCAGGTGCCCCACAGTGAAAGCAATAAAGCCCAGAGACTGGGTCAAATTTTTAAAGAGCTCTTGGTGCAAAGAACAGAAGCTAGAATTGTAGTTTCTAGAATAGAGCCAGAGTCTTCCCAATTGCTTTTTGTGAAGTGGAAGAGCACCAAAAAGGAAGAAAATATAAGTGATAATAAAGGCAGCTCTAGGAGTAGTTTTTATGTAATTGAATCTCCTTAGACCCAAACAGAGGAGTGCTCTCTAGCCCAAAGCAACTGGATATAAGAGGTCACATGTTAATCTTTTCTGACTTTTTTTGCTTCTAAGAGTGGAGATCTCTGTCTTCAGGGGAAAATTCAGAGCTGTACAATAGCTGATTCAGAGAGGGATGAGGCTTACCAATTACCTTTGTCCCCTCATGCTTTCAATTTACTAGGTTATGCAGTTCCCCAGCCAGACCAGTGTATATGAATAAACATATTGTACATTACATATTTTCCACATAGAAGCCTGGCACTCCTAACTAGGTATTTGTGCTAATATAATTTCCTTTTAGTCTGAATCTTTGAACACTACAAAGAATGTAACATCTATAAATTCCAAGTCACATCTGAGTAAGCTTTCTCCTGTGTGCTTTAAAGGCAGTTAAAATGTTAGCATTTTATATAATTAGAAACCTCTACAAAAGTGATATTGGTGTTTAAAACTTGCCTTTTGAAGCACTGAGGCCAAATGACATTAAACAGGTTTTATAGCAAATTTCAAACAAAGTAATCATTCTGGTTTTTAGCTGCAGATAGCAGTATAAGCCAGGGCTTCTCAAGCATCACATTTGAGTCTCCTTTTCTACCAGAGTCTGATTAAGATTAGAGTCAAGTCTTGTAACATCCAACTGGCATCATGAACACTGACACGTGACATGGAGATCTAAATCCACAGGAAGAACCAAAAAGGTCAAGAATACATGGTATGCATACAGAGGTCTGAGTTACATGGGGTTTTTCAAGCCCAATACATCACAGATTTCTCTGAGTTGTCTGTTCTTTCTCCAGGAATTTCCAGACAAGAAGCTTTCCTGAAAATATCTTTATTAGAAGAAAAGTCTAATGTTCATAATCAGAAATTTAACTCAAATGACTGAGAGGCTAAGAATTTTCTGTCTTAGCCCTTCCAGATTATTATTTAACTCATCTCTCTGCTGTAAGAGAGAATATTAAGCTTGTTCCTGGACAAAACAAAAAAAAAGAAATTGATGCTTTATATCAGTCAATTGGCAGTTGTATGATTCTCTTTCATTGACTTTAATATTGTTCTCTTTATAGCACAATCTATTTTAGCTGAGAACAGAAAATATTCATAATTATATATACTTTTAATACCGTGTATTGATTCCTCCAATACCTGTTTTCTGTTCTTTGAATGAAGAAATTGATTATTGTATAAAATACTGCTGCTTTTTTTTGTTTCCTTTGGCTTTCTTGATGCTGCTTATTAGAGATAACTGCTATGTATGGGTAGAAATAACTGGCAGAAATACCTTTTCTAATAGTCAGATCCAATACCATTGTTAAGGTAATTGGGACACTGGAGACTGTTCTGCACATCTTCCTATATGAAATTTGCAAACAAGATTTCCCTGCCTGAGCTAGCTCATTTTTAAGAAATTTCAAATAAATATTTGCATGGAAATGACACTTTTGACTGAAGTTTACAGAGTTGTTTTCATAAATATATTATGTTCAGGCTTAGGCTCTGCCTAAGTAAGCCTAATACAAGAGCCTGATTATGTGCAGGGAGATTTTAACTTCACCAGAGCATAGTGAAGCCTCTTTAGGTTGTGCAGAAGAATAGCAACAGATTACTGTAGTTATGAAAAGCAAAATATAGTCCATGTAATTTTGGATTAGACCCAGAATACACTGTAAAAGTCATGAAAATTTTGAAAACTCAGTTAATTATACTTGGCCTCACATGCCTTCCATTATCAGTAATTTTCATTTTTAGTGACTCACAAGAAGTTATGCCAACATAATAGGTTCTGCTTTTCTCCAAACTTGATGTTGTGGAAAATTTACCATTGTTTAAAAATGTGCCCTTTAGGAGTAATTTTTACAACATAATTATGAGCATGGTGTTTATGAAACTGCTCCATTACTCCAATTTTTCTCAACAGAATTGTCGATGGGATTGAGGATGGAAACCATAATGAAGAAAGCCAAACCTTTGACTTCAGCTCTGATCAGCTCAGGCAGGAATCCAGGTTATCTCCTACAACTGGAGGTGAGCATTGCCTGGGAAAATCACTCTTTAGAGAAAACAGTTTTCATAACTGCTTTTTGTTCCCCTTTATTTCTTTCATCCTCACTAGTGGCATAAATGCATTAAACATATATTTGTACTCTCAGTACCATTTCAGTGCCACAATTGTAAAAAAATACAAGGACCCAAAGGTCATTTGTTATTTTCCTGCTAACAGACAGTCACGATAAAACAGTTTGTTGTGGGAACTGTTTTGCCATGCTTCATGCTTTAACAGAAGAATTGTACAATCTGCCTCATGCTCCCAAACCTTTGGTCATGGAAGGTGCTAAATACAAGGATAAAACTGAACATAAAAACATTCTAATACCAAACTGAAAAAAATACAAGCCATAAATATGAAGAAAACAAAGTAAAACAATACAAAACAAAAACCAACCAAACAAAAAACCCACCCAATTAATTAAGAGCCATATGTAAACATGGCTCTTAACATTTTTAAAGATATTTAGAGAAGTGGAGGGAACTATATAGATTTTTAAAAGAGTGAAAGCCTTGAATAACAAGGGGTTTTAGGAAGTCTTAAATCACCTATACCCTGAAAAGCTTGGTGAAGTAGTAGCACAAAGCAATGGAACTTATCAAGATGGGGGAAAAAAGATTTAAAAAAGAGACAGAAGGACTGTTTCCAACATCCCCTCTTTTAGAAGTAAACAGTTCCCACATAGCTAAGTATTTTCATCATGGGGGCAACTAGGACTTGTTTGAGACAAACAATATATTGTTTCTCTTAAAGCCAAGCAGGAAAATAATGATTAAATTTATTCACATTTATGATTTTTTAAAAGTGTCAAGCTGTCACGTGGATGGCACCAATGTTGTCATCTTCATTCCTTTCAGATCCGGAGTGAAGAAAGCAGTAATTGCACTTCTCTCAAACATTATAAAATGAACATTAAATACATGGTTTAATTTTCATTCTAGCCAACTGCAAAACAGGTTTAAATTTAAAGGATTGGTTAAGCGCAAGAACAGTATGATCATTTCTAAGTGATTATATTCTTGTCATTTACATGAATTTGAATTATTTTCAGAGGCTGAAATTGGTGCTGCTGTGCTCGTTATCAAAGCAGAAGAGACCAAACAGCAGATCAGCAGGCTTAATAATGAGGTAAAAAGATTTTGTGGGGGTTGAAGGATATTAGCAATGATCCAAAAAATGCTGGAGAAAACTCAGGAATATGACAAATGTGTTATAAATGAGTTTACAAAACTGGATGAGGTTCCTACATGTAGGGCAGTTTGGGGCTTTTAACTAATTCTTAGGTTAATTTTCTACATGAAATCTACATAAAAGTTTGTGTCATGCTAGGGCTAAAATCAGAGTGAGGTTAGTGTATCTGATTTTCTTAGGATTTAGTCTCTTCTGGGTATGCCTCTATTTGTCTCATTCTTCTCATTATTTCTCCAAGTTCCTTCTCCCATATTTTCTTGTTTTGATGCGTGTTGTGCTTTTAGAGAATTTCCTTGAAAGAAATGCAAATCCCTTCATGTTGACATTTACATAAAATGATTCAGATTACTTTACCTACGTTCCACTTAGGATGAAAGAGAACTTCATCCCTTGCTGCTCAAACAATATGACCTGACGAGTGCAGGGCCAATAGTGTTCAGTGGCATTTTCTATTCCTCCTGTTTAATAACTTCAAACCTGTAATCACCTATCAATCCAACACTCAGGAGCTGTTCTGTGGCTAAACTGTTTCATTTATGCAGTCCTGGCAGTACTTTAGCTAACAAAATTAAAGCAACAGACTAACTTCACAACTGTACTGCAAGACTGAAATCTGTTCCCAGCCTACTACGTCTTTCAATGTGAAAAGATTAGAGACAATTCCTTATACTTCCACATGAGGAAACATTTAAATAAGTTCCACTACACAGTTGCACTTTCCCTGAGCTCTTTGGTTACCAGAAATGTCATGGGGTTTTTTTAATTTTAACTTTTAATTTTTCCTTCTTTATAATATACATTTAATTATTAAGTTATTATTTCCCACTTACAAAGTACTGGGCTTGCAAACCTCCTTCATCCTGAGTCAGCTTAAGTTGATTAGATAACTTAAATATCCTAAACTAAGACTGCATACATGGTTAGTTAGTTACTATGGATGCATCATCTCATTTGTATGTCAAACTGTAGAGTTCAGACAAAAGTCTCATAACCCATTGACTATGGGTCATGAAAAACTATGGGTTTTTATAGAATTTGGTCAAAGAACTCAAAAAAAAAAACCCTTCAAGATGCTCATTGGCACCACCATCATGATAGAAAATTATATTTCCTATGTAATGCTTTTGAAACACTCAAGTCATATTGATTCATCCCTTTTGAGGAGAGTAATTTTTAAAATAAGAGAATGTATTATGTGGCTATCCACAAGAGGTAATTGGAAAATAGATCATGGTGACAAATATTCCAAGGCAGGCATCTTGTGGATTAAACAAACATTTCAACTGGAACAGTTCTGGGCTTGTCATTGCTTTTCTGGTGAAAAGTGAGAAATAAATAAATCTTGGAGCTGGGCAATATGTTAATCAAAAAAAAAAAAATTTCCACATGTTCAAGGTCATTTCTCTGCACATGTAATTTTAATTTTTCCCTAATAATACTATCTGAACAAAATGTTATGCAACCTGCTTGTCCACATTAATATAACACAGGCAGTAGGATTAGATTTAGATTTCATAGGTAATATTCTGGGCGAAATCCCAGAGATGGATGGGTATCCTCCAAGTCCTCCCATGGATCAAAATTTACATTGGATGCATGACTGAAAGGCTGCTTAATTGCATATTCTACATGTACTTAAGCATGCCCCAGCTGGAGTTTCTGAAGTGATAGTATGGAGTTGGTGCTTACCCAAATGATCTTCTGGGTAGCCTTGCTGATCCACAGTAGCTGCAGCTTGAAGTTTTTTGTTGTTGTATAAAGTATAGAATATTTTTAGACCCAGTGCTTTCATCATTCCATCATTTGATGATGACCAGTAATGGGAACTTAGCCGTGATGCTGCAGCAGACTACTAGCAGTAGTTAAAATACCAGCAGAGTCTGAAACAAAGCTCTCTATTAAAGACATGAAGTCTCCTCCTGGAAAAGAAAATATGAGAAAATAGGTCACAAGTAACCAGCAGCAGTAAACACTGTCATTCATACATTTTCCAGTGGAGATCAGAAATCAATGAATGAATGCAAAAATAACTGCTTTCATGAAAGGCAATTGTATTACAACACTTCACTAGTTACCTTAGAAACATTTAATCTGTTTGGGGGGGGGGGGGAATAGACACGTGTCTTTCCATTCAGACTTTCAATAAAGTCTCTTGTTAGCAAAAAAAGTAGTTACCTCAGAGAAAAATCTACAAAATTAGCTATACCTAGCTGAGCTCTTGGCAGTATTTTAGATACATAGCATTCACTACATAATCCAAAGGCCATTTCATTTACCTAAGAGAGTAACAGAAGTCAGTGCCTTGGTTTCACTTCTCAGATTTCTTTACTTTAGTAGTAAAGGATGCACAGATTTCCTCTAAGGAGAGTAGTCTCCAGAGTCAGCACAGTGGATGGGAGACAAACTTGAACACACCCCCAATTGCTGTTGTACAGCTCCATGGTTTGGCTGCTCAGCCAGTTAACCACCTTCTTCACTTCCTCACCTAACTTCGCTGTTCATTGAGCATCCAAGCTGATACAGGAATTTCCTCCCAGTTCAGTATTTCAAGGTAGAGTGGAATAGGAAGACTTTATCTCCTGTCATGTTTGTCCTTTCCTCTTAGAATAAATAATCACTGAATAAGGCAGGCATGCTATTCATTATAGTCCAGTAACACCAGTATATGGCAGGTGAGAGCTACGGTTCAGGTTCTTGTTCTGGTAAAAACACACTTATTTAAACAATTATTTCAAGATTAGGTTACTAAATATTTACCAGCACTGTACATTTGCTGAGTTGGGAAGAGCTTGATTCAAAGATCTGGTCCAAACTAAGCAGAGCAAGAATTCAGGAAGAGTATTCTGCCTTACAAGTCTGTGTCCCTCTTTTACAGAGATCTCTACATATGACCTGGTCTTTCCAATGCATTTGTCTGCAAAGGCTGATCAAATTAGTGTATCTGAACATTTATCATATTTTCAGAGGCACCATTTACCTGATGCAATCATAGATAAATACTAAGGAGCCCACAAAGTAAAAATAGGAAACCACTAAGAAGATTTTCTGAGGTATACAGACGGACAAGACATTTAGATTAAAGCACGTGCCTATCACTGTTCCATTGCCTGTATCCAATAAGGCTTTTAACTCTCTATCATTTGAATGACACTGTATAAAAAGAGCACAGAAATACTTGTACTTTGATTCAGTTAGAAAAACCCAAACCTGAATTATTTAAAACAGTTCAGTTAAAATAAGAAAAATACCCAATATTTAGTCATATTCCCCCCCTAATTACATGTACACATTCTCCATTTAAAAACATGGTCCATGATTTTGAGATCATAAAAAAGCCATTTTATACAGCACATGAAGACAAACTCAGATTGCTTCATCATGTCCCTTGGTTTCCTCATATGTAACCCAGCTTCAATGCAGCCTCCCTCAGCTTCAGAAATCTGGGGACTGATTCCATGTTTTACCACATTAGTAGATCCCACAATTACAGTACTCAAACAGTATAATGAGCACAGTACTCACATTTCTCCCATTCAGCTGAAAAACAAACATGAGGAAATATGAATAGGGTCAGGTTTTGAGCTAGGTAATTGCCTTCTATTTAGCTCCACATTGAAGCACTTAGTGGAAATTCAGCTATTTTTAATTTTAGGTTTTTTAAATGCAAGTACTTAAAATAAGCATCTGGCACTTATGCAGAACAGAGAAAATATATTCACGGGGATATTTAACTTTCCTGTAACAAAAAGAACAATCTTAAACAAATATGTTTATTTTCCAGATCATAAATTTTATGCATATTTTATTTTTAAATGTATTTCAACTCCAGCTGCCAAAAGAACAATCCCATTCTCCTCTCGGTACAGAAAAAATGCATTTTTAATATTACAAATATATGCAAGTGTTAGTCAAGGCCACTAAAGAAAATTTGGTGAAGCCAGTCAGGCTTCTAGTTTTACATAGGGGATATACTGTTAAAGTTCAATTTGTGACTTGAGAGTTCATATAATGAACTCGCTTGACTTAGAGTAATTAAAGATATGTTCTTCTTAACAAGTTCATAACTATATCATCACACAAGAGAAATCACTTTGCAGCAAGGTTATCCCAGGGATTTGGTTTGTAAAATATTTTTCAATCAAGAAAATGTGGCAAAAAGTGAACTAATGGCAGTTATAGATGATGGAAACTATTAAAAGTAATCTATCCATTTTGGATTTTAGACATGTAAATTTCATATTAATGCAAAACCATAAAACCAAGTATCATTTGTATGAAGAAATAAAAGCTTTCTAAACTATACATGCAGACTAAATTAACTTTGCTTACTGAGATTTTTAAAAATACTTCTTCTCTTTTAGCATTGACATTAATGTTCCCAAAGAACCTTGTTATTTTTTCTCTACTCTCATACTTTGATTGCTGTAGAGACCTAATCTTTCCAGCTAACTTTTTTTCTTCTTTTAATGTTAGTTTAATAGGTATTGGCTGATGAAGGTAACAAAAATAGTTGATGCTCTGAAGCTTAGATTATATTTTTTTAAGCAGAACACACTGTACATACATGACATGAGTTCCATGTGCTGTGGTGTGTCCCTGACACTTTTCCGTGGTGGAAAGGCTCCTGAGACAAAGGAATTAACCAAGAGGCTGCCATGCAGTCTACAAATCAACTGGACACCAAAAGCTGACTTCAAATTTGAATAAAAAATATTTTTACCATGATAGATGATGACAATTGTCCAGTTAATATCTAACAGGAATTTCAAAATGTTTCTGTACTCATAAGATCTATTTTCCCAACATCTGAATGTCAACGCCTGTGGATATGCAAGTTCCTAAGTTCTGCTTTTTTTTTTTTTTTTTGCCTAGATCATAGGAAAAAGTTGATTGGTGTTCTCTTTCTAAAGTAAATTTATTCTGGAAACATGCTATTC